ATCTTTAAAACTCAAAAACCAAGCCAAAAAAAGTTTGTAAGATACATAGTATCTATTTGGAGCAAAGGTTTTTGTAACTAATTTGTTTCACTTTTTTAATAAAGACAACTAAAAATCCACTGTTCCTGTAGTGATTTTATAGGAATAATTTAACTTGTACGGAATGTCTTAGATCCCGTTGGTGTAGTTACCACAGACTTGCCTCCTAAAGTATGCTGAGCAGCAAATTATAGAACGAGGAAATTTCACCTGCCCCTTACGTAGAAACTTCTTTCAAAGGTCATTCAACTGCTTTGCATCGTTCCTACCTAAACAAAAGAGCCGATTTATTTTCTCAGGAGGACTCAGAAACCCAGTCATTTTTTTCCTCCAAGGACAAGAATCTAGCATGGGGACCATAACCGTATTTGGTACAGTGAATTACTTTCCAATTACTAGGGACAAAGACAATAACATTTATTGAGCACTTACCTGCAACCTCCAAACACTGCCTGACACACTCACCTTTCGCGTTGGACCTCGTAGGTGTTCACCTCCCCTTGCTGAAAAGCCTTCCAGCATCCATCTTTCTCAGTTCCATGCTGCCTTTTCTGTAACTGATTTAATAGTCAAACCATGTCCCATTGTCACCTTTGTGCTCCACTGGCCTAGCAGAGCAGAAGGTATTCAGTAAATGTGCTGAATGAAGGATATGAACATGTATTTTTCTCTTCTTCACTTAACACTAACCTAGCTTGTGCCACCTTTGCCTGCATTAAAGTTCACAATTTGAAGTATTATGGGAAGGGAATAAAAAGGCATGCTGGAATTTTAGATAATTTTATCATATAGAAAAAACAGTGGTTCTCAACCAGGGACAGTTGATGACATCTGGAGACACTTGGTTGACACTGTAGGGAGGTGCTGTTGGCATAAATGTATAGAGAGGGCCAGGGATGCTGCTACAATCCCATAATGCACAGGATGGCCTCTACAACAAAGAACGATCCAGCCCAAAACATCGATTGTGGGAGGTTAAGAAGCTGAGCTAAAGTAATCATTAGGCGTCTGAATAAAACTCTGAATCACTACCCTGATTCCTTTAACAGGTCATCTGCCTTAGTCTGTCTCCTTTATAGCTATTCATCTGAGATAAGAGGGAAAGGCTTAACCTATAAAAACTATTTCTAAATATCATTTAAATTACATGAAAACACACCAAAAAAGCCCAAATAGCCAAGGCAATCTTAAGCAACAAGAACAAATCTGGAGGCATCACATTACCTGACTTCAAATTATTATACAAGGCTGCAGTGACCAAAAAGGCATAGTTAGTATGTAGGTAGAGACACAGACCAGAGAACCCAGATAAAACCAGTTGATCTTTGACAAAGCAGACGACAGCACACACTGGGGGAAGGAGGCCCTAGTCAATAAACGGTGCTGGGAAAATTTCATAGCCACATGCAGAAAAATGAAACAGGACCCCCGTCTCTTACCACATACAAAAATTAATTCAAGATGGATAAAAGACGTAAATGTGAGGCATGAAACCATAAAAATTCTAGAAGAAAATGTAGGAGAAACTTCTAGACATTGGCCTAGGCAAAGGATTTATGACTAAGACCCCAAAGGCAATTACAGCAACAACAAAAATAAATACATGGGACTCGATTAAAAACCTGCACAGCAAAGGAAATAATCAACCGAGCGAACAGACAACCTACAGAATGGGAGAAAATACAAGCTATACGTCTGACGAAGGGCCAATATCCAGAATCTACAAAGAACTCAAATCAGCAAGAAGAAAACCACCATATTAAAAAGTGGGCAAAAGACACGAACAGAAGTTTTTCAAAAGACAAATGGTCAATAAACACGAAATGCTCAACATAACTAATCATCGGAGAAATGCAAATTAAAACCACAGTGAGTTAGCACTTACCCCTTCAGAACGGCCATCAAAAAGTCCAAAAACAATAGACGCTGGCGTGGATGCAGAGAGAAAGGAACGCTTACACACAAATTATTAAATAGCACAGCCTCTATGGAAAACAGTACAGATTCCTCAAAAAAAATAAATGTACATCTACCATTCAATCCAGCAATCCCACCGCTGGGTACAGGAAAAGAAGCCATTTTATCAAAAAGACACCTGTACCCAAATGTTTATTGCAGCATAATTCACAATCCCAAAGATGTGGAATCAGCCTAAGTGCCCATCGATTCGTGAGTGGATTAACAAAATGTGGCATATGTATACCACATAAAAAGAAATGAAAATAACGTCTTTTGCAACAAATTGGACAGAACTGGAGATAAGTACCTCCGGAATGAAAAAACAAACACCACATGTTCTCACTAACAAGTGGAAGCTCAAGAGCGGGCGCAGAGACATGTAACCGTCATTAGAAATCGCAGAGCGGGGAGACGACCTGTCAGGTTCAGTGAACACTACTCGGGTGACGGGCACAGCGACAGCCCTGACTTAAGCACTATAATTGTGACACACACATTAGCACCCACTCTATTTTGGAATAAATTGCATGGACACTATTAAAGCATTCGTTCTACCTGATGGAATTTGCATGCTCTTGCAATTGCTGCTATAAGCAAAACTGTTGTAGGCAGTGACTTCCATCTGTCATAAAGAATACTCGTTCTGAGCCACTACACTAAGATCATCAAAGAGTTTAGCAATTACATCGCTGTACAGAATGAAACCTGAGGTCTACTCACAGGAAGCCAGACGGCAGGGGCTGCTGTGATCCGTCTGGACCAGGAGCCGCCCACGCGCCCGGCGCCTGAGCACACCTGCCCGACACCCCACGCCCGGCGCCGCTCTGAGCTCTGCAGGAGGAGACTCGCGGCGGCACGGCCGTAACAATCAGGACACGACAGACCGCGCAGAACGCTGGTTCCAGCATCTGGCTTTATTTGCAGTACAGAAATCATCGGCGCCACCGGAGACAGGAGCGGGGCTCTGCCAAGTCAATACCGCCCCGCAGCCCGGTCCTCGGCAGCAGCCACGCCCGGGATACAGAAGACGCGTCGGCATTTTACCTGCTTTACGATGGGTTCCTCCCCCTTCTCGCATCAATTTTATTAGGTTAAAACACCACGTACGGGCTTCCTCTAATGGACTCCCCAAGCCTGGAGTTTGGGTAAGATTTTATGCCATATAACCAAACTGTGGCTGTGCTACTTGGGCCCTGCCGCGATACCTGACACAGCACAGGTGTCAAGTTGCAGGAAAACGCACGGATGCCATCCCGAGCCGGGGAATACTCAATTCAGAACCTCCCTGACGTCGGGATGACAGATGGCACGTGAATCGTGCGGGTCCAGCTCTTGAGAGCAGCAGCCCGTAACCGCAAAGGCTACCCTGATTAAAAGATACAAATACTGCCTCAAATTCTCTGTATCAGTATCACAATGTTCGTTTAAAACTGATCCTTCACTAGAAAAAAAGCCAGTTTGGTTAACTAGAACAGAATGTGGTAACCTGCCAATTCTGAGGAGCCCCTCCAGGAAAACAAGTTAATACATGATATTAGAAGGACGAAGGGGAGGAACGTTCCCTGGCAGCCCGGCGCTCTTCGACCTCTCCGTTCCGATTACAAAAGCAGGCCTTACAATAGTGATTTCACACAATGCGTTATTTGCCGAATCGTAAACCCGTCCTAACTGGATGATGACGTGTACTGCTGTTAGTCTTCCCCGTAGATGTCGTTTTTCTTGCGCTTCATTTCCTCAAAGTCAAACTCTGATCCTGTCATCCTCTTATAGATGTTCTTAATGTCATCACAGGTTGTCTCAAAGTGAGTTGTAGCATCATATGTGCGGGAAATAAAGATCTGGAAATAA